TGAATGTTCCAAACTAGCTTGTTTCCATATTTAGATTATAACTTTTATTATATAAAGTCTAAAATTTCATGAGAAACTTTTAAAAGAAAAGATACCATTTTAACGATAGCATCTTTAAAGTGGTACCGTTTTAACCTTTGATACCTTTAATGATACCATTTTATATTATACCATTCTTTCCATAAAAATAGCATAAGAACGGACATTTTCTTCATTCGAATGTAACATAAGTTTGAACAGAATTTTTTTAAAAATGAAAGACAATTATTTATTTCGACTACTGTTTAAGAACATATGATTTCATTTAAAACGTCACGGTTGATATTTTATCTACAAAAAAAATTAATTAATTCAAAACACGCGCATCTCGAAACTATTAATTTTTTTGTCACAACATTTTTCGTTATGGACAATAACAATGGTATAAATTCCTGTTAAATAGGAGCTTTCGATCCTATATAAGGATTGACAAGAAATAGAAATGTCAGTGAACTATCCGCGCTGTGGTTAAGGTAATTAGCTACGACGGCGAAGGCCCAGGTTCGAATCCTGACTAATAATAAAAGTATATATTTCCCTTTGTTCTGTAGCGGTAGGTCCCGATGGACACATTTGGAAAGACCCCCACACACACGACGTACTTAAAGGAGTTTTGGTAGCACTCACCTGGATCCATTACACAACATTACGTATGAGATGCTGCACAACTCGATGACTACAACGACGACGAATATACCTGTGGATGATAGCTGCTATAAAACCCCCAGTTGACAAAAAAAAAAAAAAATGAAAAAACCCGATAACAAAATAGTATGTAAGATGTGGTGGCAAGTGCGCACTTGTCAAATGAAGGGGGAGGTGAACCGGGGGTTTGATTAATGATCTCCAGTAATAACTGTGCTGCTCATAAAAATAATAGCACACAATCTTCTATAGCCAAGAAAGAGCCAAGGGAAGTTTTAAGACCGTCTTTGTTGAATGTGTTGACACCTCTCCTGATGCTATTTCCAGGGCTGCTTCTGTCTGTCTGTTTCTGATGTACATAGAGCATACTGATTGACAAGAATTCATAACTTCAAATACTTGCAAGTAAGTATTGTACACACACAATTACGGGCGCGCCTGTTAGTTCCTATTTTGATCAGACAGCAAATTTTTTTTTTCTTTATGTGTATGTAGATTTCTCCTATCTGGGTTTTCTCATTCAAATACCATTCTTCACGCACCCAACCACAAGAAAATTAATTAAATCAGAACATGCATACCTCGAAACTATTCATTTTTTGTCACATTTCTCGCTGCGGACAATAATGTTAATATAAATTCCTGTGAACTTTCGACCCTATATAAGGATTGATAAAGTATAGAAATGTCAATGGACTATCCGCGCTACGAAACGAATTAAAGTAATTGGCTACGAAGGTGAAGGCCCAAGTTTTTGAATTCATCTATATAATTTAGCCATAGCATTCTTCTTTGTTTCTGTGACGGAAGTTCTATTATGTTTGGAAGACGGCGAACTAGAAGGAAAATCGGATCATCATTACAGAGAGAGGCTCAATCCGATGACGATAAACGAAGCCTGGGAAAGATTGCTGAACTCCAATTGACAAAAAAAAGAAACAAACAAATGGATCCATAGAGAAGAGCACTTGCAACAGTTACCGCCAATAAAGAAATGGTTAAAAAGCATTTGTAACAAGGAGAGATGATGAATATATTCCCTCATTAGGGAAGCAGCTATTAAAGAGATTTTAAGATATGTGATTAAAGTTACATCACATCCATAAATACAGTTGCAGTTGCAAAGATTAAAAAGAGCGGCCGTGGTTTCACGGTTTGGGTGGCATATCGTCACCTCGAGTACTATTCTTCCTCTGCAAACTCTTTTTTTTTCAATTAAACAATTGAATTATTTTCATTTGTCATACTTGATGTATAAAAGTGCATATCTTATTTTTAAATCAATTTTTAGTCAATTATTTTGATTTATTCTGGACTCACCTTATCTTTATTTGTAAGGTAGAGAAACATCAAAATCTTACTTATCATTATACAGAATGAATTTATGTATGAATGTATATTTTTATTTCAGCCTCTTTGGCCTTGAAATTGACTTTACACATTTCACATTGCATTTATCCTTACTTTTACATGTTATAATATTTACATAATATTTTGAATCCTATTTTGCTTTATCCTATACTTATATTTATCTTAACTATGCTATTCTTTTGTCTACTTAATATCTTAACCTAATTCTTTCATGTTTACAGAATGAATTTATTATAACGTAAATCATTTATAACGTTCATCTTTTACTACAAAGAATGGTATTACTATGTAATATTTATCGCAGTCTGTTGAATTTTTGATCTATGAATTGTAAGGACCAGTAATTACTATTTATGAAATTGTACTAGTTAGTCTATTTTTCTTTTATTTTTATTTAATAATTCTCTTAAACCCACACATAAATCGATACTGATATTCTGTTTGTATTAATCATAGTTTATATTAAATTGCGGAAAAATAAATTTTCCCCCTTTTTAAAATTTTTCGATGGCTTCTATCATTTGATTTAAAAGCAAACAACTTAAAATTTTGAGGAAGATAATTTTCAATTTTTTAGTCAGTTTCTTTCTGTAGCCATATAAATAACAATAAGATTAATTAAAAAGAAAAAAATTAAAAATTAAAAAATGCTAATATTATAAATTTCAGTAAGAATTAAAAAAAGTTCCCTAATTTGTATAGAATATGAGCTTAAGTATAAAAATGGGGAATTTTCTACAATAGGGACAAATAATTTGTTTATTAGTGTTAAAAAATTCTCAATATTATATAAATAGTAAATATTATATAAATGCTATTACAACATTACTAAATAGTTATTACAGTTAAATTCATATTCTGAATGTTTAATATTTACATAGATAATTCACAGTTTACAATTTGTTTGTATTTGTGTTTGGCCTGAACGGGAAACTAAGGACGTTACACAGATGTTATTTCTGAAGTAGTAGTAGTGAGCATTTGCGTGTTGACTATCATTGATTTGTTGGCCTGCGTTACAATATATTTTTGGACTTTTATTAATGTATTATATTGTTAAATAAAACTGATAATTTAGTACCTTTTTTTGACTCGTAAAACATTTTTTAATAAACGTTCCAAACCAGCTTGTTTCCATACTTAAATTATACCTTTTATTACATAGATTATAACTTTTATTATATAGAGTCTAAAATTTCATGAGAAACTTTTTAAAAAAAAGATACAGTTTAGGGATAGCATCTTAAGTGGTACCGTTTTAACTTTTGGTACCTTTAATGGTACCATTTTATATTATTCCATTCTTTCCATAAAAATAGCATAAGAACGGATATTTTCTTCATTCGAATATAACATAAATTTGAACAGAATTTTTTTTTTAAATAAAAGACAATTATTTATTTCGACTACAGTTTAAGAACACAGGATTTCAATTAAAACGTAACAGTTGATATTTCATCTACAAGAAAAATTAATTCAGAACATGCACATCTCGAAATTATTCATTTTTTGTCACAACATTTCTCGTTGTGGATAATAGTAATGGCATAAATTCCTGTTAAATAGGAGCTTTCGATCGTATATAAGGATTAATTAGACATGGAATTGTCAGTGAACTATCCGTGCTGTGGTTAAGGTAATTAGCTACGACGGCGAAGGCCCCGGGTTCGAATCCTGGTTATAATATATATATTCTCCTTTGTTCTGTAGCGGGAAGGTTCATTTGTATGAAAAGGGGGACGCTTACGGAGGAGGACACAATCGCGGGCTTCCTTCGGATTCATTATTACGAGAAGCTGCAACCCGACGGCAACCTGGGGATAACGGCTGAACCCCAGTTGACAAAAAAAATAAAGCAAACAGTTAGGAGGTAATGGTGTGTAATTTGTTACGCGGAGCGGGCGGCTTGATGTTGAGGTGGCACTTTTAACTAAGTGTGCCATAGGATGAAAGGAAATTTCACAGCACTGATGATAACACCTTGGAGTGTGTGGTGCCGAGGAGAAGGAAGAAATTCTGAGAGCAGTTGTTAACTTGTTAAGTTGCGCCAGGAGGAACGGAGAAATTCGGAGTGCGTGCATTTATCGAACGCCCGAGGAGGACACGTAGAAATTCGCAGCGGTCAGTTAATTTCTAAGTGTGCCAAAATGAGAATTGCAGGTGCCAAAATGAGAATTGCAGGTGCCAAAAGAAAAATGTCTTTGTTGATTGGGCTTCCATCTAATGAAAGTTCCTTCGGTCTTCTTCCGGGGCTACCTCTAATGGTGCTAGAGCCCGGCCGATTGTCGGGAACTGAGGATAAATCTTCGGTAACTTACAAGTAAGTGTTGTTACATTAATTACGGGCACCTGTTGTTAGGATAGTTCCTATTTTGACCAATCAAACGGCAATTTTTTTTTCTTTTTATATGTATATTTCTCCTTTCTCCGTTCACACACCATTTTTTACGCGTCGAACCACAAAAAAATTAATTAAATCAGAACATGCATACCTCGAAACTTTCATTTCTAAGTTCTACTGCGTTTGGGAGACGGCGAATTAGGTGGAACATCGGATCATCATTACAGAGAGGCCCAATCCGATGACGATAAACGAATCCCTGGAAAGCTGCTGAACTACGATTGACAAAAAAAAAAAAAAAAAAAAGAAACAAACATATGGATCCATAGAGAAAAGTACGCGAAAGTTGTCGCCAATAAGGAAATGAATAAAAATCATTTGTTCAAGGAGAGTATTCAAGGCGTCTGCAGTTGGGCTGAAACTTTGTGCATTAGTAGATTGTTTATGAATATATTCCCCCATTAGAAAGGCAGATGGTCAAGAAATTTTAAGATATGTGATTAAAGTTACATCACACTCATAAATACAGTTTCATCAGTTTTGGGTGGCATATCGTCACCTCGAGTTCTATTCTTCTTCTCCAAACTTTTTCTTTTTCAATTAAACAATTGAATTATTTTCATTTGTTATACTTGATATATAAAAGTGCATATTTTATTTTTAAATTAATTTTTAGTTAATTATTTTAGTTAATTATTTATTTATAGACTTTATCTTTATTTGTCGGATAGAGAAACATCAAAATCTTACTTATCATTCTACAGAATGAATTTATGTATGTATGTATATTTTTATTTCAGCCTCTTTGGCCTTGAAATTGACTTTGGTTTTACATTGCACATTCGCATTGCATTTATCCTTGCTTTTATTTATAATATAATATTTACATAATATTTTGTATCCTATCTTGCTTTATCCTATACTTATATTTATCTTAACTATGCTATTCTTTTGTCTATTTAATATCTTAATCTAATTCTTTCATTTTGTTTCATGTTTATTTGTTACTCTTTTCTTTTTAGACCTGCCTTATCTCTTCTTTCTCTTCTCCTTGTCTCTCTTTATCTTTCTTTCTCCTTTCTATTCGCCTAAGCCATTTTACCGCTTCTTTCCAGCCTTCCTCACTCAGTATCTCTTCCAGACTTGCATATGTTGTCTCCATCTCTCTACAGTCTCTCCAATGCTCTAATGTTCCCTTCCCATCCTCGCATAGTTGACATTTCCGTTCTTCTTTGCTCTCCCAAAATTTATTTCCATTTTCTAAGGTATCGCATCTTGTTCTGGCTATTATCTTCTACTCTCCAT